AGTTGGGGCGGGGACTTTGCGGGAGGGGCGGAGTTGGGGCAGGGCCGGCGCAGGGAAGGGGCGGAGTTGGGGCGGGGCCGGGGCAGGGAAGGGGCGGAGTTGGGGCAGGGACTTTGGGGGAGGGGCGGGGTTGGAGCAGGGCCGGGGCAGGGAAGGGGCGGAGTTGGGGCAGGGACTTTGGGGGAGGGGTGGAGTTTGTACAAAGGGGACACTGACCTGCACTGTAAAGCGCTTAGCGATCTATGGATGAAAAGTGCTATATCACAGCATATCCTTTTCTCTTCCTCCCCGTTGTGAGCCCCAGCTACTGCCATGAAGACCCCTGTGTTCCAGAAAGAACGTCAACCAGATGCTTCCCGAGTGACCTACTCAGGGTGCCACTTGCCCCCATCCGGCCAGGAGGTAAATATCAGAGTGTGGCCGACCTACCGGGTTGACCCAAACAATCGCTTGCCCTCTATCCACAAACCTGATGATTCTCAGACCCAGTTTTTGGTCTCCACCAACCGTCCCGCTTGGTAGCAGAGTTTTAGTAGCAGAGGCTGTAGTGAGGACTCGCAGGGCTAAGATCATGCTAAAAACACTGTGGAACATTCATATATCAACCTAAAGGAACAGAATGCATTGTGGGATATGTTGGCCTTGCCTATCTTTATCATGTGTGCAACTTCCTGGGGGATAGGGTGACCAGACAGCAAATGTGAAACATCGGGACTGTCCCTATAAACCTACGTAAGAAAAAGACCCCAAAATTGGGACTGTCCCGATAAAATCGGGACATCTGGTCACCCTACTGGGGGAGGGAGCAGGGGTTGTTTGCAAATTAGCAAATAACCAAACAACAATAGTCACTCCCCGAATTAACGAGGTTTGGCTAGACAGTGACTAAGGGGCAGATGGCGCTAGGTGCCGCTGTTGGCTAATGGTGATATCTGTAGCAGTGAGACCTTTCTGTACTTCCACAGCGCTGGGCTAGCAAGGACTTGGCCCTGCAGGCAGCAGGCAGGTGCTTTGGCAGAGCTGGGGCAGGGAGGAGGGAGCAGAATTGGACTGGCAGGGGATACTCCAACCTCGGACAGAGGTGCATTTGCAGAGCGGGTGGGAGCTGTGCTGGAGTGGCTGGGAGCGTGGCAGGCCATGCTCATGGTGTATGGACCGGTCCGTGTGGGGGGACCACAGATTGCAATAGCACAAGATGTTGCAGGTCCGATTGAGATGTGTTGTCAGAGCTGGGGGAGCCAAGTGCCCACAGCAGCAGCCCCGCAGCATCGTGCCTGGGCCCAGGCAGCTCTGTCAGCCTCCTGCGTTCAAGAGACTCGATTTCACTCCAAAGAGGAGAGCATTTCCGGAACAAGCGCCTTCGTTCCCAGCCCGCTCACAGTAACTGCCCTGGCCGCATGGCTGCCTGCCATGAGCAGAGTCTGGGTGTGACTCTGCATTTCTTAAGGGAACCTGCCTCACAGCTCTCTCTCTGTTCACAGAGTGACACTCGCACAGGGGAAGGGCCCGGAAGGAAGGCTGCCTTGTTGCGGTTTGCGTCCAGGTTGCGGGGCAGATACAGCAGGAGCTGACCTAATCCCCAGCTTAACACGCCCCATTCTTATAGCACCGCCGGGTCCTTTGTTAAGGTCAGACGTCGGCAGCCGAAAAGGAGCTTCACATCTTCTATCACCAGAATCTCATTCAAACAGGAAAACAACCAAAGGCAGAAGGCCTAGAGGCCAGCCAGGCCTGGGGCCAGTTGTGCTGGGGACTCCAACAGACAGAGCTAGTGTCTTCCTAGATGCCAACCACACATGGCCATGGG